GACCTCCAATGTTTAAACCTAAGGTATATTGTCCTTACGATTCGAGCTTGTTCGGAAATAGTAACTCTCTAAATAAAAAAAAATGTGTGTAATAAGTCAAACAATATTGCAATTTGATTGGAGCATTTATGTGTTGTTTGTGGAGACATTGCTGGACGGTATGTATGCTATCTAGTTGACTTTGGTCGAGTGGCGGACATTCGAGTATTTTATTACTCGAGAAATTTGATTGTTTATTTGAGCTTTGATTAATTCCGAGTAATTTAGATGATTGGCAAGCATATGTTGAAACGTGAATATCGACCAATTTTGAGCTTACCTATCACATATTCAAGTAAGAAAATGAGTGAGGCATATAACAATTTATGTGTTGAGAGTTTGTCATTTTAAGGCCAAGTTGATATTTGAGGCATATGGTCATACGGTCGTTGGAATTTAACCCAATTGAGTTAGACATTTTGAGGCTCTTCTTATTTGAATCCGTACCCATGTTTGTGTTTTGTTTTCTTTCTCTTTGTTCGGGACGAACAAAGGTTTAAGTGTGGGGGAGTTGTTGTGACCATATTTGTTACGTTTTCCGTTACTATTTTGTTATTCTTTTTCCCCCGTTTTAGGTCTTTTAGTTGGTTTTAGTTCATTTTGTATTTTATTGTGTGTTTTGCTCTATTTTGGCTTTTATGTGTTTTTCGTATATTTTGTCGGTTTTCTACGTTTCTTCTTCTTGTTTTTGGTATGCAGGTCAGAAGCCCGTGAGGAATAGATTTCACTCGAAAATGGGCCGGGAAATCATGTTGGATAGATGGGTTTGTTGGCGATATATAGGAAAAAACGGAACTTGATTTCGAGTTCGTACGAGTCCGAACGAGCCCAATATGCGAAGTCGAACGAAGCACGTCTTTGGTGTGCTGGTCATAAGCTATGAGAGAATTTTAGTTCAAGAATAATTTGGCCACTCAAGCATCATTGAATAGAGAGGTTCGTTAGCAACGCATAGGAAAAAACGGAACTCAATTCCGAGTTCGGACGAGCCCAAACGAGCCCAAAATGCAAAGTCGCACAGTCCAGCCCACCTAGCGGCGCTAGGAGTGCTAGTGGGCTTCGGAAGTTCATTCTTGACCCTAGCGGCGCTAAGGCCCCCGCTAGCGGCGCTAGGCACCCCCTAGCGGCGCAAGGGCCCCACTTAGCGGCGCTAGGGCCTGCTGGAGCCCTCCACTCGGATTTTTCCCACATTTTTCTCCATGTTTTGAGCCACCATGTTTTCCTCCATGTTTTGTGCCATTTTCTACATGTGTTACTCCATGTCTTGAGATTATGGTGCTTTAAAAATAGGATGAATGTTTGATGAGGAGTAGTATAAAAAGGGGTGAAGTGCAAGACTTCAAACCATCCCTCATGGGAGGAGTTCTTCTCCTCCTTCTTCCTTCTCTTGTTCTTCTCATGTTCTTCTTAGTTATTTTTCTTGTTTTATCTTGGAGATTAAGCATTCCACAAGGATTCAATTTGGCTTGTACGTTGATTTCGATTCTCGACTTGGATTAATAGTAAATTTTCCTCATTTGATTATGAATATGAAAGCTTGTGTTAATTCTTTTGTTGTGGTTGATTTCATCATGAGTAACTAATCCTCTAGCTAGGGTTAAGGGATAATCATTCAGTTTTGTTCTCGTTTATGTGCATGACGATAGCTCAGTCTTGACGAGTTGTTTTAATTATGAATGGATAAAATCATACTTGATAAATTTTTATAAGCTAAGAGTGACACTTAGGTTAATTTGTTGATATAATCGAAGAGTGACACTTCGATTTGTGATTGAATATTGATTTGTTGAGTTAGAGTTTTTTAATTCTATGAATTGCGACTTTTATAACCGAAAGGGGAGGAGTCATAGAGATAATCGATTTAAAAACCGAGAGGGGAGAAATTGGTGGAATTTGGCTCGTTTAGAGTAGACATGTTCGGAGACGTATTGTCTATGTGTTAATTATTTCGTTAATTTGCTCTTTTATGTTTATCCTCATATTACGAGAGTTAGTGAGGTTAAACCGCTAATGAGTTAGTTAGTCGAACCACTTAACCGAGTTATTAATTTTCGTTAAATGTGTGTAGAACCGGAAACGATTGTCCCCGATAGCCTGGCTCATTTATCTCTCTTTGAATAGTGACATTTCTATTTCTTAGATAGATTTATATTGCTTGTTATTTTTTAGTTGATAATCAAACACCAATCCTATCTTAATTAGAGTGTTTAGGATTTTATTTTCTATTTTAGTGTTTTGGAAAACTAATTAGCAAACAAAGTTCCGAACCGTCTTCCTTTGAGAGACAACTCGGCTACCAAATTATCCCACCACAAAATACTGAACAACACAGCACAAGTCCGGTTAGCTCATCCTAAAATTGGNGGGGGGGGCTAGATGATATAGCAGTCGAAAACAGCTCGGTACGTCGGTCTGTGAGAGTAGCTCGACTACGACTGGGCTAAGAGAATTCCAGGATGATGAATAGACTGGATGCTCGGCCAAGTGCCTCGGATATGAGACAAGGGTGCCGAGCTGACAAAGCAGACACGACTTGACGTGACCATGAGTCACTCGGCCCCGCACAGACCCGACCCTGTCAAACCCGTTGACCACGGGCCTGGGCCCGGCTCAGATTTCAACTGGGCCGATCTAGGGTCTTGTTTTTTCGACTCGGCCCGGCACAGAAAAAACACATAGTTTTCGAATTTTCTTTTCTTTTTTGGACGGGCCAGACCTGGTCCGACCCGACCCAGACCTAGGCCATGCCGGTTCAGGGTCCATCCAACCCAGCTCGTCGGCCCGTTGGGTCGGCCCGGGTTTTGGCCATGTCTAGACACGACCTGGAGGTACCAGTTTGTAAGAGCTCAATAAGGTAGCCGACCTCGGTGTGCATTGAGGTTGGGTGGCCTAGGGATAGGTTGGACCTAAAGGTGAGATTATATTAGACCACAGGGGTCAAGGACGTACTCAAAAGGGCTATAGCAGACAGGATGGGGGTCAGACCTCCGGCCTAAAACCCCGAGCTAAAATAATAAAGGGAGAATGAATCCAAGTAAGAAGGAAATTATCACTCGCACAAAGGATTCATGCCAAGATAGAGACGTGGTAAGTTAGAGAAGTAGAATCAGGATGGATCTCTCCCCTAACAAGAACTCTCTTCGGCTCCAAGGTATCAAGTCCTATAAAAGGACGACAGGTTTTCTCGATTTACACAACACACAATCCACGCATATTTTATATACCTTGTATTCACAAAGAGTTGTGACTTGAGCATCAGAGAGTTTTCCATCGGGACTCCCTCCCAGTGTATTGCAGGTTATCAGGAGCTCAAGGAAGAGGATCGTTCAAGGTGGAAAGTGTTCAACCCTATCGTGACCAAAGGTGACGTATCGTACTACACTTTTTTTTTGGGCAAGAATACGACATTTAAAACAAATCGTATACAAATCATTCATAAACGAGTATAAACAAATAACAATGTAATTCATAAACCAATGATATAAATAAACTATAAATTAACGATTCATAAACACGAAAATTAGTATAAATGATTAATAAAGTAAGTTTATAACTAAGAAAATTAAAAAAGATGTATAGATGAATGGAGTATGAAAAAATGTTTTCGGTTTGAGTTTAAATCGACAAACTTCTTACTCCACTTGGAACTTACATAGCATACTGGAATAAGAGTAAAAAGAGAAGTGTTTTTTTTTTGTTATTTGTATTTCTTGATTTGAGTAATTCCTAACTAATTTATTTTTTTGTAGTAAATCATGGGAATCAAGGAAGGATACTTATCATGTGGAGTAGTTGAACTTGGAAGGAATAAATCATCATGAGAAATGAACGCGGATATGTGAAAATCTACTTACCATAATTGTGCAGCTGCAAGATGTGAAGAACTTGCCATGTTGGAGTTATCTTGCGATTGAGGTCATGACAAATTTTGGAGAGGACAAAAAGGAGGAGACTTACCATTTTGGCAGTGATATAAAACACACCTTCTTTCAACTGTAAGAGAGCGATTTTTTGAGAATCACGTGTTGATAGCGAGGACTGTGAGAAGTGTGTACTATGATTATGTTTTCAAACTCTTTATTTTATTTTTATGGAGAGAGAAGACAAGAGCCTAATCTTAATCTTCATGAGCATAATTATTTTTTGAATAGTGTTTGGGATGAATACTTAGAACAATACAAGGTATTTGTGTTGGAAAATCCACACGGATTTGTGGTAAAAAAGAAAGTAACTGTATAGGTGATTTCATTGTAGGTTTAGAAGAGATAGTCTTCTGTATAATTACTAAGTGTAATAGGCCAAGCATCTATATGAATGAAAGAGTTCCCAGGGAGAGCGGGATGCTCTTCTGAAGGTTCATGTTTTGTATGAACTAGCTTCCGCAATTGTTGGAACAATCGTTTTTATACTTTAAGCGCAATTCTGGTAATCCCCGAAAAATTCAATTGACACTAGAGCCGTATACACGAAGATCTTGAGGATATGTAACGGGCAACCATGAATCACGATGGTGGATCAATGTCTAGACCTCCGCAATTGGATGACTTAAACTACTCACACTGGAAATCAGTGATAACAATCTTTTTGCGATCTATTGGCAAAGGTGCTTGAGAGAATGTGGAGAATGGATGGACTCATTCGATCACGAAGGAGCGGAAGAGACGCTGCATCTGCAACCATTCTTAAACCAAGAGATATGTGGTCAGATGCAGAAAAAATATAAGAAGAAGCGAACTTTCGAGCCCTATACGCAATTCTGATGACAATTGAGCAGACACGAGATAAAATGATAGGTATTTATGTAATATATTATATATAAGTGTTTATGTAATATATTATATATATACCTATAACTTAACCTAAATTTTATTCAGTGCGGTTCGATTAAAATCGTACCATTTGACCATAAAATTGAACCACAATGAAACTTTTGCGCTTTTCAAAAATATTATCGCAAACTACAATCTTAAAAAGCCAAACTGCACTGCACCAAATACATCATTTCAGCTCGATTTTGCTCATCCTGAGATTCTCAGCCAAACCACCTTCAAGTTATCAACAAAGCAGCCACTCATTTTTGGTCATCATCATTCATTCACTATATTTTTTTTGAGCACCCAACTACGTGAGAAACAAGAAGACAAAATTAAAACGCGCCAATTCCTTATCCAGATGGATATTCCACTCAACCTCGCAATTTATTGGCCACAAATCTTAAAACCCCAATTGACATATTTTCAAAAGAAAAAACCCCAAAAGGAAAAAAATAAATATATTTCTGAAGAAAAGATATGTTGGCGAAAGAGTCGGCGAGGTTCGACATCCCGGAGGAGCTGCTCGAGGTTCTGCCGTCGGACCCATTCGAGCAGCTCGATGTCGCCCGGAAAATCACCTCCATCGCGCTTTCGACACGTGTCGACGCCCTCGAGTCGGAGGTGTCCGTCCTCCGCGACCAGCTCAACGACCGCGACAATATCATATCCGGCCTCGAGTCGCAGCTCGAATCGCTCGACGCCGCCTTCAACGAGGCCTCCGATAAGCTCACCACGGTTCAGCAGGACAAGGTCTGAATGTTTGTTGTTCGTGCGCGTCTGCTGACCTTAATTTAGTACCAATTTTTTTCACTCTGCACTAAATTGCGTGAAGTTACTGAGAGGAGAAATTGTGGAAGTAGTTTGGTTCATGTTGTCTGACTGTTAAAAATGAGCTTGGCCATTCAGTTTGGCTTTTGCTTGGGCGTAGAAGAATTAAATTGTTTACTGATTGGATTAGATAGCTTGATTTCAGTTGAGCAGTAATCCTACATATTCAACTTACTTTATTATTTTTTTATTTATTTGTTAATCATGTTTATTTTTTGGGTTTGTGAATGGAAGGAAGGATTGATTAGGGAGAATGCTCAGCTAAGCAGTACAGTGAAGAAACTGAACAGAGATGTTGTCAAGGTTTGTCTTTAGTTTTGCGCTAAATCTTATCATTTTTAGTATACATACGCATAGACAAACCGATTGGTGTATCCTTTCGGTTGACTATGCAAATTGGGTCTTGGTCAAATTTATTTAAATGGTGGAATTGATGATGGTTCAATTCATGGTGAACTGATGAATGGGTTGCCATTAACTTTATTGCATATTAGCATATGGTTGCAAAGTGTGCGTATGTGTTTCTTCTCTCTCTCTCTATCATATATATTTACTTATTCTTTCCTTGGTTTAGCTATGACTTGTTAGTTATTGCTTTCCGATTACTGAAACACTAGTCCAATAAAGTGTTGGATGCATTGGTCATGATAATAAGGAGTTGCACCTAAACTTTTCCTCGTTCATTCTTTTTAGTTGTCCGTGGCAATTCATATATTGATTATTTTTAGTGATGAAAACCATCACTAGAGCATTGTATTAGACCTTCTTTCGAATGACTAGATGCCTCTCCTCTTTGGTATATGCATGCATTAGAGCATTGTCTTGATACTAACGTCAAAACTTGTGTTCATCAACAACCCCTTACAGTGTTGTTGTTGTTGTTGTTTTTTTTTTTTTTTTTTTTTTTTTTTTTTTTTTT